TTCACAGGGAGGAATTGGCGTCAAACGGCGAATGCAGGGAAGACGTCATCCGGATTGTGTTAATAGTGGACCAGATCTGCCACATTCAATTTCATGTTTAGCTGCTTTCATTGATTTCTTCTTTTTGTTCTGATACAATTATAATAGTCACGCTCTTAGTATTAGTAACTCCATGAGTATTGTTGTGTGTGTGTGTGTGTGGATGATGTGTTACATGGACCTCAGTTCACACCATCACCGTGCACCATTCTCGCTGCTTCATAAACCTGAATGCCCAGTTCCGATCATATATAGCCAAACGTCTGGTAGAACCAAATCTCCTCCTCCCAAACTTGTGATGTTGTAGTGTCATATGGCCCAACATAAATATAAATGGAATTACTGGTGAATATCAGCAAACTTTCTTATGAGCTGGACACTTGTCCCAAATGCAGAAACCATGTTGATTCTACCAGATTAAAAACCACCGCAGGGTTTTTCTATGTAAACAGTTCTGGACAGAGCCACTTCTAAAATGAAAATGCGCACACCAACGAGGTGCAGATCAGTGTGAGTTACATAAGAAGATGCTTCCATTAATATACGAATATTATTGTCTTTCTAAATTGTAGCATTTTTAAGACTTACAGGGTTTAATTAGGTAGCTTACTCTGAAACATTTGTATAACCCCCTGAATTACATCTTGTTTTGAAAAAGTGTTTCTTTACAATAATGGATAATATACAGATATTTCTAATTAAAGCAGGAATGTAGGAACTGTAGAAGACTAGAGAGGGTTCCCAACTGTTGGACACACAGGTAAACCTGAGGGTCGCGACCGCGGAATGAGTGAGGATATCGGAAAAAGCCAAACAGCCAAAACATAACCCACATTATCTTTCTGCTACACAAAATCTTGGACTTTTTTTCTAGACTTAATCTTTTTTTCTGAACTCCTCAGACTCTAAAACAGACTAATTAGAAGGACGAATCATCCTTGGTTGCTGTATTATTGTAGGCATATGGAACAGTGGAAAGGGTTGCCATGTAAACAAGAGTTCAATTTTGACTTTGGTCAAAAAACACTGACATCACAGTATAAACTGGTATTGCATTTTGTACTGAGAAGGTGGAGACTTGGCCCCCTTTTTACCCATGATGGTCAAGATTGAAAATGTATGGATGTGCGCGTTTCAGTGAAACTGAGACCCTGGGATGCCAGATTTGTGTTTTTTGCATGGTGCATGTCTGTCTGCTCATATTTTTGTGTGTTTCATTATTATTCTGTCATCAAAATGGCTCAGATTTAAACATCTCAGATGTTGTTCTGGGTGAGCTTTTTTTTTCTTGTCATGTATGGGTTATATATATATATATATATATATATATATATATATTTTTTTTTTCTGTTATTTTCTGCCATTTTTTTTCATCAGACTGAGGTGTATAGAGACGGACAGCGAAATGTGGGGAAAAAGAGGAGAATTTGGTTTGCAACATTAAGGGTTCCAGCTAGAATCGTGCCGTCGACTCGGTATGCCCACTCATGCGGTTTATCATTTTGCCGTCTTACTCACTCGGGCTGCCCTAGACCCCAGAAAGTTGAATATTAATCAATACATTGAAAGTGTCAAATGTCAGCACATGCATGAACATAACCTTTACAATTTGCCTCTACATTACATACTCAAATTGTGAACTTGGAACTGTTACATGCCCTTATAATTAAGTCAGATTAGTTCTCTTTAAAAATTAGTTTTTACAAGTTCCAGTCTTACTTCATTGTTTTTTTTCCACAGTTCATTGGTGCGAACATGCTAGACAGCAAACCAATATAGATTTCCCCATACATTTTAACCCTGCTGTTATATGACCGACATTAACTCTCTCCTCGTTTAGCAACATGTTTTATCAACTACAAGGTGGGATCGATATCTCTCTCACTAACTCACTCTCACACACACTCTCTCACTCGCGACTGACCACGTGACCATCACTGGCATGAATCCGCATTATATTATAATGCACAGTGATATTATGTCTTGACATTGTAAACCATATAGACCGATAAGCGTGAGAAGCTATTCTTTGAAGGCTGCCACCACTTTCTACATTATATATAATATATGTCCCATTTAAAGTTGACCCGAAGAGCGAAGCGTACGGAGAGCATGCGATTTATAAATTTCAACTCATCCACACTCCAACTCCAAAGTATCACGTGTCCTGGATATTATATGAGAACATCATATAGAGATGTTACAACAAGACTCAAGTTCATGGTTATCACCAATCACGAGCATCGAGAGCAGAGCAGAAACAACTCAGTATCACTGGAGCTTGTGGCTTGTGTTTGGCTCATCATTGTGCTGAATAACATACGACTCTCATGCTGTCCTATATACATCTGTTAGCTTTGTCAGCGGGTCACTGTCAACAAAAATATATAGGGAGGGAGAGTGAGATGTTGAGCCTGGCTCCTTGAGGCTGCCCTAAATGATCCACTATGTTCACCAGCCTAGTCCTAACATGTGTGGTTGTTTTTATGGTGCTGGACAATGCGTCTAGAGTGGGTTTAACATACTGTTATGCCCTGAAAACGCTGCCTGCTGTGACTGAGAATGACAGTGATGAGAGGATGAGACCTGAACCAAAAACAGTAAAGCTGTACCCCGTTGGTGAAGGCTGTCTTATAAATAAATAGCAGAAACAATGCAGCTGTGAAGTCAGAAGCTTCAGAGTCAGAAAATAATCCTACATCAGCGTTGTTCAACACTTTTCACCATCACACACAGTAATTCTTTCCACTCTCCATCAGCGCAGCTTTAACATGTTTGTCATCAAGCTAAATTATTGCATATCAGTTTTATATTATAGTATATATATAAATCATATTAGAATCCTTATTTTTGGTATAGTCTTGCGTGTGTGTGTGTCTGCCACTTCATCATAGTGTGTGTGTGTGTGTTGTGTGTGTGTGTGTGTGTTGTTCTGTGTGTCTGTGGTGGGGGGGCGTGTGTGTGGCTGGTGTGTCTGGTGCGTGTGTTTGTCTGTGCGGTGTGGTGGTGGTGGTGCCTCTCAGATAAAAGGGTCTCTTTCTTTCCTCTGTCTGCCTCACCTGCAGAGAGTTGCTTTGCAATCAAGCCTGGGAATGCTGACTTTCTGCCGAGCTGTTATCATCCGCTGATACGCCATCAATAAACGACATCGTAATGAATGTCTTAGTTTTAAAATCATAGTAATCATATATATTTAGAAGAGCTGAGCTTCTGTATGTATCTCTTTGTAAGTTAGTCTGATGGAGGGAGTGAGTGCTGTATGATTGGCGATGCTCTCATGGTTCCATGCTAGCTTGTGGGGTATCTCCGTGTATCACTAGTGTTACTCGATTGGTCGGTACTCACACTCACTCTCAGTGCGCAGTATTCATTAGATATACGATCTAGTGGTTTCAATTGATAATGAGTGAGCTTCATTATAGGCGGAGTTATTGTGTTTATAACTCAATACTATACTTTGCTGCACTACACCTGACCTTTAATAAGTACCATTTTTACTAAGCGGCAACTATTGTTTATCGATAGCACCACCCACTGAAACTAATTGTGCGTATAGTACATATACTAGCAACAAAGCAAATAGCTACAAACAGAGGGAGTCACGCCCACCCACCTAGTGAACATAACTCCATTCTCGTATCCGCACCCAAAAATTTAAGTCTCATTTAAATGACAAATTTTGTTTTGTTTTTTACAGGCGACCGCCGTCCATGGTCAGCACAGAACAGATGCAGCATGCTGAAACACGTATTTCTTCTCTTCAGCGAAGTCCAAATCCCTTTTGCCATTCTGCAAGCACATCCTAGGTAACTATTACTTAATCGATGAACCTGCATCACTTATTTGAACTTACATGTTTTTGTATTTTATAAACATTTAACTTACCCAAGAAAGACTGTCTGAACAAACATGCTGTTTTTTTGTACAGAGCAGTAGTAGAGTTGGTCCTTTATGGTAATGGTCGAGGGCAACGCGCCAGTTGTTGTTTAAAGGGAGAAAAGGGTTTTAATTTCACTTTGATTCAAGTGTGTCCATCAATCTGGGCTTCAGCCACTGATGTTACGATCGTAACAAATCTTCTGCTGTGGAAACCTTTTTAATGTCCTGCCACCCCCACAGGCAAATGATCACTTCCTATTGTGATCTGAAGGGAGTTTAGGTTTCTTCTGTGTAGTTGGCAATAAAGAGCAAAGTGGAAATCCTCACATCTGGAGAAGCTGCGAACAATCAAATGCTTTGAATGTTTAAAAATGGGCATAACTATTCATTGATTTATCATAGTCTTTAGTTCTGCAATGAACCTCTCTAAAACAGTTCAAACAAAAACGATAATTATACCTTCATGAAGGAGCATTCACCACAGGACTGGTGTATAAGACTTGCATTGGTTTTAGCAAAAGTGTCCCTAATAAACTGACAATTGAGTGTATGTTACTTTCATGGTAATGAAATGTGCTACATAAATAAAGTTGCCTTGTCTTATTCCGACCATTAAAAACCATATAAAATCCTTCACGGGTTTTGTGTTACTCACATTTAGGTCCTTATCAGATTTAAGCTGAATTCAGTTTAATACTCTTCATCTATAGCGTAACTCTGAGGTGCAGCTTTTTGCTTTATGTTTTGATTGCGAGCATCAGTCGGAAAGATCACAGAGCAGCAGATATTTTGTTACAACTAATACCTCAAGAAATAGAGCTTTTAAATTGCTACACTTTTTCACAAGGTAACCTATCACAAATCAAAACATTTGTCGATTAATCGATTGCTTGGACTGATTGCTGGAAAATTAAACTGCTTTTGATAATTGATTTATCATCATTTTTCAAGCAAAAATCCTGATAAATCTCTGTTTCCGTTCCGGCTCCTCAAATTTGAGAATTTGATGCTTTCCTTTGTCTGACATGACGGTGAACTAAATATCTGTTGGTCAGACAACAGATGACCAGTTGGTTAAAAATTCCCATCCCTAAACTCAACAACCAAACTCTCGTTATCAGGGAATTGGGGTTAATACAAAGTATGTAAATGCCTTTTATTTACAATATATACATCTGGCTTTATCCTGCTGTATTTTTCTCCTGCAATATATTTATCTTGTCTCCCTTTACGTCTCCAGAGACCAGTAAGGTGGACTATGTGCTGTTCCAGGCAGCCACAGCCATCATGGAGGCCGTCGTGCGGGAGTGGATCCTGCTGGAGAAGACCAGCATCGAGTCGCTCCGGGCATTCCTTCTCACCTACGTCTTACAGAGACCCAAGTAAGAAAGAAAGACATAAAGAGAGGCATGATGAAACCTGTGTAGTATGTATGACCTTTATTGACTTTCATTGGTGAGTGGTGAGATTGGCAAGACCATAAATAGACCTCATCTCCTGTTACATAAGTCTAAAGCAGAGGAAACTGTGCAGTAATTCAAGAGCTATTAATATTCATCAACAAACCTTTCAAATCCCACAGATATATTATGGGCTTTTTAATGAGCTGAATACATGAATTAGCTCGATATTGAAAATGTGAAAAATGTAAATCTGCGTTGGATCACATGCATGAGCAGCGGTTAATTTGTTTGTGCAGATAATATTGATGCTGTTTGAACTAAAAAAGATGCCTGGAATTTTCTCCTTTTCCTTCCAATAATCTAAGCTTTTATGTGCAGAATGAGTTGGACGGTGGCGTCTGATACTCTGCACTTCCTCATACATGGAAAGCCAAGCATTCATAAAAATTCAATCTGATGCTCATATTCAGCTGTTTCCTCATGTGTCCACTGGTGTAAACAGCAGAGGAGAAGAGCACAGGTTACGGAGACTGTAATCCACAGAAGTCTCTGACCTGGTTACCAAAACTCTCTTCAGCAAACAAGCTAGAAGCGCCAAAGAAAACAGGCTGCAGCTGTGATTGCACCCTCGCACACAAAACTCCTCTTTCGCTTCGTTTTTCTTACTGTTCTCAGTCTCTGCAGTCGTCATTGTTCGGTTCACCTCAGACAATCTCCGTCACATCCACTGTAAGTTTCTCTGCTTCAATTAAACGATCGATCGCTTCCCTGTTTCCCCTCAGCCTGCAGAAGTATGTCCGTGAGCAGATCCTGTTGGCCGTGGCGGTCATCGTGAAGAGAGGCTCTCTGGACAAATCCATCAACTGCAAAAGCATCTTTCACGAGGTCGGCCAGCTCATAAGCAGCGGGAACCCCACAGTGGTGAGAAAGACGTCCCTGAATCGCTTTTAGTGATTCATATTTTACAGTACATAATGTTTTCTTTTTTTTTAAATGAGTTGATATGATTTTATGGTGCAAGACACATTATTAAATCATATAAATATTTTCCACACCTTTTTATATAGATGTATGTGAAACTGAGAGAAAAGGCAAATTGATCCTTATGGCTTTGAGGATTTACAGTTTCTCCAGTGAGTCATTTTGATGTTAAATCAGTAAATAGGTGTGTGCTGGTGACTTCTAGGCAGCTTTCCAAAATGTGGCATTAGTCTGAAAATGTAAAATTTAACCAAGTAAATACAATAGTTCCTTTTTTTTTAATCTAAAGTGTTTCAGAAAAACCTCCTAAAAAAAGAGAGCACATGGTTCTAGACGACATGCAACTATTTTGTGAACTATCTCTGCTTTTGCCTCCTATAAATTATCTTGTGAAATGATTAAGCTGTCAATACTCACTGATTGCCGCTGTGTCAAACACCACACGTTTAGATCCAGAAAGTTGGAGGTTGATGCAAATAATAAGGCTTGATAATGAGATTTGACTCTGTGTTCAGACCTGTTCTCACACTCAGAGAGGACATTAACATAAACAACAGAGTGTGTTTCCCGACACGTTTAAAGCATTAGATGAATGCATTGTTAGCAAAACTGGGTTTAAGCTTTGATCATGTTTATTGTGTTTGTGCCTTGATGGACCACATTTGTGCCCTGGTTACAGACTTCCTGCATTGGATCTGGCTCAGATTACAGAGAGCTCAGTCTGAAAATAAAAAAATGGCACAAAGGCCGAGCTGGGATAGAAGCTCCAGGCGTGTTCCTGTGGTTAGAAGAAAGTAAAATCTTGAAAGTGGCTGTTTTCTCTTCCCTCATGCACTGAAGTTAATTTTGTGTATAAGATGTCGTCAAAGTGCATTTTTATGACAGTATGTTTGTGGCTGTTGTATAAACTGTCCAAGTGATTTTATGGAAACGCGATTAAGCCAAGAAGCAAAAATTGCGAAAGAATATGTGAGATGTGCTGTGTGTGGGAAAAATATTTGTCTCCCATCTGTAAAAGTATGTTGGCTTGACTTTGTCTCCGTGCTGCTCTGTATTATAAAACAACTGGAGATCTCCTCTTTGTCCAGTAGGTGGCACTATTTCATTTGTTATCCAAAGCAAACCCCAAACAAGAAAGTGCTGAAACTTTAATTTTAATTGCAGATGCACAAAACCAGACAGGACTGAATCTGACAGAATCTGAACCATGAAAGGCAAAATGCAATTACAATTAGAAACTATATGTAAAATAAGGTTTGATGTGTTTTCTTCTGCCTGATGATTAAAAGAAAGAATTGCTGAAACGATCAGTGGATTAATCGATTAGTCCAAGTTGTAATATTTACAAAGTTCTTACACTCCATAAGTGGAAGGTGCTTAAGAATAAAAACTCTAAACTTGACAAGAAAACCAAAGAGTCCTGCACAATGTTCATCACTTAAACTCAAATTATAAACACAACTTTTAGGTTTTTGCCTGATGAACGTATTTATAAAGTGAGTTCAAGTGACGGACAGTTTATCGAGGAGTCGGTTGTAATAGTTGATATTTTTGCACATGGTAGGGGTGTCTCCACTAGAGTAGTAATATATTGTGTACTATACTGCATACTAATAATATAGACTCACGCAGTATGTGCACTGTAGGACTCCAGACTGTGACTTCAGATTGCCACAGCCAAGTGATCTTCACAGAGAGAAAACAAAATGTTTTCCCAGAGATTTCATTTTTTGTTTTCTTAGCCGTCTAACCACCAACCACCACTTGTTTTAATGTTTTGCAGCTGTTCCATTTCCTTTGTGCATTGCATTGTGGGACACTAGTGTCCGTCAACAGCACACTCAAAATCCAAGCTGCGCACTAACTTTTTTCAGTATACTGTAATAGTATACCATTTATTTATTTATTTAACTTACTTAGATCTAATTTTTATGCTGGGATTGGGACACAATCTTAGTTTGTTTGCACATTCACTCTCCCTGCTTGCTCAAGTTTGACCTCAGCAATAACTTCTAGCTGACTATCTTGTATGACCTTTGACCTCTGCGATCACACAACCTTCTGTCTGCTGCAGCAAACACTGGCCTGCTCCATCCTCACCGCTCTACTCAGTGAGTTCTCCAGCTCCAGTAAGACCAGCAGCATCGGCCTCAGCATGGAGTTTCACGGCAGCTGCAAGCGTCTGTTCCAGGTTTGTTCCCCACCTCATCTCCTATTCTGTGTAACAGTGAAGTTGTTAAAGAAGGGAACACACTGATCTATCATCCCTTCCTCGCTTCCAGGAGGAGGGCCTGCGTCAGATCTTCATGTTGACCATGGAGGTGCTGCAGGAGTTCAGCCGCCGCGAGAACCTCAACGCCCAGATGTCGTCAGTCTTTCAGCGCTACCTGGCTCTGGCCAACCAGGTCCTCAGCTGGAACTTCCTGCCACCCAATCATATCCTTTCTTTGTCAGGGGCAGGATATTACACCTGGCCTGGAAAGGTCAGGATCATAAATGTGACAGTTTCTAAATCTTGACACATGATTGGATAATTCCTGCCAGGAAATACAGGTCAGTCCCTGTTACTCACGTTACTACACATTAAGTGCACTGGTCTTATATCACATCTGCCGCCATGACATTACTACACCCATTTTTCCTACAGAATCCAGTTTGGGAAGCAACAAAAGCTGTTTAATGATCAGCTTAGTTTAACTATTTTAACCAAACAACATATTTGGAAGTTAACCTGTTACCAGACACCTCCATCTTGATAGATAGTGTACACAAAATTAAGTTATAAAAAAAGAGCAGTTGTTCTGAAAGAAGGGTGATGGAGTTCCTGGGGGTCCCTAGTAAAAAGGGGAATGATTTATTTTCACTATAATTCCATCCATAACTATCACAATGACAGGATGTATGACTATTTTGGTCTTAGGGGTCTGTGGTCTAATTGGTGTCAGTTTCAGGGTCATTGAGGTGAAAAGCTCTAGATGATATGGTTAAAATTGCATTTGTTTATACTTTATCTGATCATCCCACCTGTTGTTTTTTGCCCTATAAAGCATCCTGGGTTGTAAGGCATCTACCAATGTTGATGGCGCAAAAGTACAAAAACAAAGACCCAAATTGTGAAGATGATTGTTTGTGAAATTGGTGATTGGCGATAAAAAAGATATGAGACGTAAAGAGGAGTGATCGTCTTTCGCACTTTGGAAAATTGGCAGAGTTGACAGTGTCAGGTTAGAAGAAGATGATCTGTATAGTCTATAATGCTGTGTGTGTGTGTCTGTGTGTGCGCATGTATGTATGGCTCTACAAATATGTGAGACCCAGGAATGCATATCTGCCCATCACTTTTGCTTTGTAGTTCATCTCTTGTGCACACATCCATATTATCTTTGCAGTTGGCCGCATTGTTGAGCGAACTTAGGCACTTGGTGTGTCTATGTGTGTCTGCTTGTGTCTGTGTGTGTGTGTGTGTGTGTCTGTGTGTGTGTGTGTCTCCAGGCTCATTACGGCTTAAGTCCCAACCAGCCTGGCATCCTCTCTGCCTGTCTGAGCGGATCTGGAGTGGCGCTTGCTGCCACCCAGGGCCATGTATCACTTTCAAAGAGGTGTCTGTGTGTCCATCCCCGTATCATTCCAGCAGCACGCCACCCCCCGCCTTGGCTTGTTGAGGCTCCCCTTGGTATGCCTGGTATGCTCAGTTCAATATGTGCGTGTGCTCAAAGATGCACTTTTATACTGTGTGTGTGTGCGTGTGCGTGTGTGTGTGTGTGTGTGTGTGTATTAGCTCTTGCAGTCAATTTTTAGACAGTTTAAGAGTTTAATTTTGTTTTAGTGTTGTGTATGTGTATGTAGCCATCAGTGCAGTGTCATGTAAAAGTCACCAGTTAATGTTTCTGTACTATTTACATCGTACTAAAGCAACTTTCCCTTTAACATCTCGGGGTGTTTTAGACCATTATGGACAGTTGAGGACCAACTTATGACTTTTACATTCATTTAATGACACACCTGGATTTCTGACGTGTTTATTTCACTGGATTAGCCAAAACAAAACTTTCCCCACATGGTTATTCATACATATAAAAGGCTTTTCAGTTGAAAATGTACCATACCACCACTCAACACACAGACAGGCCACCAGATCAGCTTCAGTGCACATTGGCATTGATCCTACCAGCCTCTGAACTCCACCATTGTGGCACTGTTGTCTTAATTTCTGTCTCTTTCTTGACTTGTACTTTTATGCTTCTTCTGTACTAAGAAGAGAGAGACCTTGAGGACCCCCCCCCCCCCCCACCGAGCCGCCTTATCGAGGGTTATTCTTGTGCTGAAGATACGACTGTCAGCACAACACCTTCCCCTCAGGGTTATTCATGCGTATAAACGGCTTTTCAGTTGAGAATGTACTATGCCACCAATTTACAATACCACAATACAGAGTCCGGCCACCAGATCAGCTTCAGCGCACCTTGGCATCAATCCTGGAACTCTACTGGAGGGAAGAACACCGTCCTTCCAAAGATATTCCCTCCCATAGGTGTTCCACTGGGTTGAGAGCTGGTGACGGTGAAGGTCACAGCATGTGATTCACATCATTTCATACTCGTCAAACCCTTCAGTGACTCCCTCATGCCTTATGACAGGGGGCGATGTCATCCTGTTTCTCCACTCATTTTTCAGGTTTTTCCTTTCATTTGTCACCCATCTGTATATAGATATGATACACACACATATATATATATATATATAATATATAATATATATGTATAAATAACATATAGTGTGATAGGAGATCTTATCAGCATCACCTACACTAACTGCACTAAACTTCAACGTATCTAGAAGAGGTTATTATAATCGCCCTCGATAAATGCAGCCATTTAGTTTCACTAAATTTTACACTTGCACTTAAACATAACATTAGATACAATCACACTTTTTTTTTCATGGTTAGGTAGCTTGAAGAATTTGTTAAGTGTGGCTGACTGCAGTGCGAAGTTACCCTCAGAGGGTCATTAAGTAAATTTAAATGACTGTGAAGCAAATACAGCTGGATAAACTGTAGATACAATAAGATCTCCTCATGGTTCTAGCTGCATGCAAATAGAGCTGTAGCTCTCTGGTTTCCTGTTGTTGAGAGGTCACAAATGTTGAATGGACAGTCCCAGGCCATAGAAATAGCGTATAAATTCTCGAATCAAGTGGCGTTCTCCTTGAAATTCTGCGTGCATGTGAGTGTGTGTGAAGCCTACAAGTGTCTGGGCTGTTGTTGAAAAGGAGAACAGATTGATGAAGACCGCTGGGAGGACAGAACGAGTGTGGCCGCCTGTCTGCAAGTGTCACAACACGCCTGTGTGATGCGATGCGAACGTATGCCAGTATGAGTATCAAGGGGCCGCTCCTTAATTGCGTGGCTGACAGCGGCTGCCTTTCACGCACACCAACACACACACACACACACACACTCACACACTCCTCAAAGACGCTTTTTTAAAAAGCCTCCCTCCCTCAGACAAACCGAGCGGCATGCGTGTCATCTGTCCTCGCCGCCGTCTGAACCCCCGGCCCTTCGGCTCTGGTGTCATCTGGTGGAGGCACGCTCCCCGGGCGTCGGTACGACACCGTGTCACTCCACACCGGGCTTGACTCGAGCCTGGGTTGTGGTCAGGCCTGGAGGCTGCAGCGGCAGTCAGGTGCTGTAAATGTCTGTCCGAGCTGACAGATGGATCACCCTCCGTCCCCGCAGCCTCGGCGATCCTGCACTAACCAGTGTATTTGGATCCTTTTATGTTGTTTAGATGTGTCTGGTATGCGAGGGAATCTCTAAATTCATCTCTGTCAGTTGTGTTGCTATAAAAGCAAGTAGAGCTTTGTTCTGTAGCAATTACTCATTTCCATTTTCTCCCATCTGTTCTTTTCTTCACTAGAGAGGAACGTGTAGATTTCACGGTCTATCAACTCACTTAAACTCAAGTTGTTTCAAATTAAGGCATGGTGTTCCTGCCCGGCTCTTCCTTTGTGGCACAGTTTCTATCTTTTTTTTTTTCTTGACTTACTGCTATTATAGTTTGTCATAAGAAAAGAAGACAAAGACCTCTGCAGTCAGCCAACAGTCAACCCCCCCCCCCCCTCCCCGAGTCGCCTCATCAGGGGTTATTCTTGTGCTGAAGAGACGACTGTCGGTGCACTGTACAACACTTGCCTCAGCCTGGCTCAGCATTCTCATTAGCTGTTCAGGGGTCAATTTATGGGCATTTTGGCCCTCAGGTTAAGGTTAGGATTAGGAGTGTGTAAGCTGATGCTGGATGTTTGCCTTGGCCCTGACCTGTACGGGGGAATCTTCAACTACTGCTGTCTAAACACACGTGGTAGGGTATATACACATGGCTAATACGCTGATGGACGTTCAGCTGATGCATGTATCTTCTGAAATTAGATTTAAATTAGTCCTCCGTGACAAATTCTGTATTTGTGTGTACATTTTTACTACTGTATAGCTTTGCTGATTTAAATGTATCTAGTTCAGGGTTTTTTAAAACCCCCCCCTGAGCTTTTTAGTGACTAACAGGATTTAATTTTACTTCAGTACAGTGAATGTTAAAACACCACAGCAACGAGCACTTAGCAACAAAGAACCAGACAAAAAAAAAAGGTTACCTTAAGTGAAGGCAGCAAATTAGTCAGATATTTGCAAAAAACTATTCCTTTCTTCTCCTAGATGTCTTATTATCATGTCGTATTATTTGATAAAATTAACACACAACAAACTTGCCTCCTTCATCCATAAATTATTGCTTTCAGATTCAGAAGAAACAAGCTGCTGTTGAACGAAGCAGCATATCTGATATATTATTGCTTTAACTCAGTGGAGTCAGAATTAATGACAACTGCTGTCTAAACAGATGGGGGCCAAACAGTAGAAGGAAATGGGGAAGGAAAGGGAGGGGGTGGGTCATTGAGGAGGTATTCCTGGACTGTTATTTCACATGGCGAGGCTGCAGGCGAGACTTAAGGCAGGATATATCAGTTAAACCCTACCATGCGCCTTAGCATAGCGCCGCGCTCTTCGCACGGCCGCTGGCAGACGCTCAGCCAGTCTTCCTGTGCAGCGGGTCCATCCTCGGTGAGGATCAACCATAATGAATAGAGGATACAGGAGAAGCTCGCTAATCCACGATCCTCGAGCATGAAGGTCGCTCGGGCCTGCAAAATGCCCAGATTGCTGAGATAGCCTGATTGTTGGCTATTTAAGGTGGTCATGATAATACTGTCGGATTGATCTGTGAAGTGTTTTGCACGACGTCTGCAAATTGCTGATGAAAGCGGAGCTGGGAATGTGAAATGTGAAGTGGAGTTAGATTTGATTGAGCCCATTCATTACAAATCACACAAACTTTGCAACAGTCAACCATTTGCAAACCTTGCTTTGGCTGTTCCTGGCG